GGGGGGGGGGGGGGGGGGGGGGGGGGGGGGGGGGGGGGGGGGGGGGGGGGGGGGGGGGAGGGACGGAGGCAGGGATAGTAAGACAAAGGAGGGGGAGCGAGGTTATTCATTGCAAAGGATCCCCACTGCAAAAGAATAACATCTCCGTTTTTTTTTTTTTGGAATTAAGCTGCGCCAAAATTTCATTCTGATTTTGCAGAATACCTTATGTTATTTCTGACGGAAAAGTATCAGTGGATGAAATCACAAAACTTACTTCACCAGAATCAATCACATAAAAATTATCGCCCTCTTCGCCTTGTTCAATGATGGTCTCACCCTTCTTCTTTTCAACCGGGAACATCGCATCAAATATAGCTTTCTGTTCGTCTCCCTCAAATTTTGCTCACAATCAGACACACTTCTTCCCTTTAGCAGCGGAGAGGAAGAAGTAGAGAACAAGTGAACGGATACCTCAAGATGCGAGAAAAGAATGTTCTTGCACATTGCTGCTTCCAAAGCCCTGCGAGTTTCCTCGTCTTTAGGTATGACTACCTTATCGTAATTCGCCGCTTCCTTCTCATCGGGCACCTCAAAAATACTTGTTAACTACGCTGCTATTGCTGTATAACAGGGCGAACTAACTCACTGTTTCAAAATCCAGTTTTTCCCTCCAATTTGTAAAGTCGCGTAATTTCATGTATGTGAGACAAAGGAAGCTCTTTGCGCGCCAAAAAATGAAGGTACGCGAAACCGGATCTCGTCGTGCATCATAAACGAGATTAATTAAACCAGACCTCGGCGCTAACTCCGAGACGTCGCCGATTACCCTGCGGTAATTTGGGTGGTTCATCGATGGTATCATCGTCGTCTGCAGCTTCGGCTCGTGGACTGGACACCTGCAATAGACGATGCACACAGCTTGAAAAACATAGGTAGCATGCAGGGGAGCATCCTGGCACCTAGTCTAGTCGGCTAGCACCAGGTGCTAGCTGTCAAGATGCAAAAGTGATACCGCACTGGTCGCCTGGCAGCTCGGCTTCTGGCTCTCGCCCGCAGAAGTCAGCGCAGTGCTCGGAGGAGCAGCCGCCGCGTTACGACGCCTTTTCAGGCTAAGATGTTGGCCCATCAGGACTGGATGCTGGATACCGCTTGCGTGCTTCAAAAGCACGTCGCTGCTGTTGCTGCTGCTGCTGCTGCTGCCGCCGCCGCTGCCGCCGCCGCCTCCGGGCCGATTCTCATATGAGCCCCCTCCTGGACAATCCCTCCTCTTTGCAGTCGGCAGCTCCGGGAACGAGCATTACCCAGCGGCGATCAATGTGTCATGCCCCCTCTCATCCATCGACACGTCTCGGAACACACACACACACAAACACAAACACAGAGATTGTCCGGGAGCAAGCTGCTCACTCTCGTTGTTCTCGTCCGGAGCAGAGCACGCAAGACGCCTGGGTTGCAGCGGCTGCTACCGAGTGCATCGCTGACACACAACATACATGCAGCTGCAAATACCCCTCTACTAATACAGATGAGCTTTTGTTGTCCACGCAAGCGAGCAATTACCCCTCTCCGGGTGCCGGACTTGCTGCTTAATGCTGGTCACTACCGCCGTCACCAAGCATTTATACAAACACTACCTCTCACCGCACACTTCAATGAACACATCCGAAAACTGCACACCTACCACGCCAAGAGAGCTGCAACAAATCAGCGGCAATGCTCTCGTATATCAGCAGCCCCTCACACTTCCGGAACTAGGCTCCAATTGCGCCAACAAAGAAAATACTTGGGAAAAAAAAGCAATTTTTGGTCCTCATCTACATTACTGGTACTACTTGGGCAACAGGACGGATCCCTGCCACGGCCCGTCATCACACTATGGCTTAGCTTCACCACAGCCATTTGCTCTGCGTGTTTCGTCTGCTCTCCAGCAGTTTTAACAAAAGATGCTGAGCCACGGCAAAGCTTCGAGAGACGAGCCACTCACGCCACTTTTACGGATCACTGAAAGATTCAGCCACTTTACACACAAGACGAGGACATATTTCGAAATCATTGCTCAAAAGCTTCAGGCTCTAAAGTAAAATCAAACCACGAACGTAACGCCGGAAGAAAGGTCTTTCTGCTTCAGAAAGCGCCGGGAGGGAGATGGAAAAATGTGAGAAATAAATCGACGAGCCAAAACAATAATGACGAAGAGAAGGGCATCTAAATCAGCAGACTTTGGACAATGAGAAGCAAAAAGAGATGCTGGACGTAACGGAAAAAAAGTGTCAAATACGCAACATATGAGCAGAAAAGAAAAACCAGACGTCATTTTCAAAAACGGAAGCGAACTTCGAAATGTACCAGTCAAATGCTGTATGAGTCACCGATTTTTGCACTGCCAGCAGTCAGTAAAATCGCTGAATTAGTAATACTTTCAAAGGACGAAACGAACGCCCCGTCTGTCGCTGGTGTTGAAGCAACTGGGAAAGCTGCCAGTTACAGCTATGTAATCACACTCAATCAAAGTATTTCAAGCAACTACTGGCGGGAGGGTATACTTTAATAATTGCAATTCGAGAAAGTACTGCATGCTCCACTGCAAACAACCAGCACTGGATTATATTTTGTGATGAATTTTGCGAGTATGAGGAGAAAAAACAAAGGCACATACCTGAGATCGCTGCTCGTAGAGCTTTTCGAAATGTTCTTTGAGGAACAAGATCGGATTTTCTGGTTTGTTGATACACAAGCTGACAATCGCCTCCTTCACCAGTTGTTGGATGTTATGTCGCTGGACGTACGCTTGACACTGAGCTAGCTGTGCCTCTTCACTGCCACCCCCCGACGCCATATCCAAACGAAAGCAAGAACTGCAAAATCGGACGAGAGAATCAGGTCTGGCAATACTCACAATTTGCAGAACGCCTATACACCTGAGACAGTCCTTACAGATGCGATTATCTCTGACTCATCAAAAACCAACAAATATCCGCACAAGCCATTTCCCGAATTGCTCCGACGTCGAACCATGTTACAATTGTAAAAAACAGTGAGCATTACTATCACCGTAGCTTACCGGGATTAATGGTTTGGAGGACACTAACGCGCAGTCAGACATCAAACACAGCAACGCCATGCCCACCCTTTGCCTTCACACTCTGCGCCGGTCGTCTCCGCTATCTACATCTCTGACTGAGGCCCTCAAACCAGATCAGATGCTTTTCTTCACTGGTACCAAACATACATACCATTAGTAAAGGGCGAAAAATATTCCGGCCAACGGATTTCATCATCTGCGTCACGCATGCAAGTCAGAATGGCCCATGCACGTCACTAAAATGTAGGCCGCAGCGGACAACCACTGGCGTCCCAATATCACTCCACAAAAAGTCATGGCAGCCTAATTTCATATCTCGTCCTTCTGCATCTGTCTACCTTGCTGCCTTTTCTGCTAAAAAACAACACCCCAGGAAAAAGGGTACGGGAGGAGAGGCAGGCAAGAAGAAACGGCAACGAGCCATGCCTTACAGAAATGCTGGCTTTATCGTAGAATTTTTTGCCACAGTTTTATGCTAATAAAACCTATTCTGAAAATCTTCCACTGTTTTTCAGCAATTCTGAATCAACAGTTTATTTTTGAAAAGCGCGCAAGGCGACAGAGTTTTCTTTTCCTGGCTTTGGGGAAAAAAAAAAGGAATTTTTGCAAGTTGTACATCAAAAATATGCTGTCAAACAGAACGAATTAAGTAAGATTTTTAAAATTCACAACCAGAACCAGCTCCCTTCAAACCAATTATACAATAATAAATTACTAAGAATCCATGTTTCAATAAATAGTACTGAGCATTAGCCAATTGACGTGAGCCTGTTCATGGGGCCTAAATTTGCATACACACTCCAAACAATAAGATAAATCATGTATACAAATTAAACTTTTATTATTTGGAGTTACAGCTTCAAGACAAACGGTCAAGACAGTCGTGCAGATACACATATACACGCATACACATACACACACATACACATTCACGCAGATACACATGCACACTCACAAACACAAGTACATGCAGAGTGTGGTGATTATGCATTTTCGCCTGTATAAATGCGGCAAAAGGCAAGACTACCATAGCAACACTGGGTAATTGCCTACGCATTTTTGCTTTGTAGCACCGCTGCGCCGCAACAGCAAACAAAAATAATTCGCCAACGCACGGGCTGTCCGTGCGAAGATGCGTTTTTTGCAAAGTTCCCCGCAGCTTTTGTCGCTACCGGCATCGGTTTTTTCGGCAGATGCTTCTAGCGGAAAGAATTTCGGACTGGCCGCCAGAACTGTCAGGAAACATTCCCTCAAAATTCCAGTCTTCTAGCTTCTCACGTCCTCGAGTAACTTACCCGGAAGGAAATTTTCACGAGCCTGTACGTAGGTACCACGCTTACCCGCGGGCAGGGTTTGAACTCGTTAATACCCACTTAGACAGGGAACACCCCTGGTACCACGCTTACCCGCGGGCAGGGTTTGAACTCGTTAATACCCACTTAGACAGGGAACACCCCCTTAAGAAGATTTGCAGCGCTGTCTAACTTTTCTAGCTTCTCACGTTCTCGAGTAATTAACTTACCCGGAAGGGACTTTTCACGGGCCTGTACGTAGGTACCATGCTTACCCGCGGGTTCTCGAGTAATCAACTCACCCGGAAGGAACTTTTCACGGGCCTGTACGTAGGTACCACGCTTACCAGCGGACAGGGTACTCGGAAGGAAATTTTCACGGGCCTGTACGTAGGTACCACGCTTACCCGCGGGCAGGGTTTGAACTCTGTTAATACCACTTATCACGGGCCTGTACGTAGGTAACACGCTTACCCGCGGGCAGGGCTTGAACTCGTTAATACCCACTTACACAAGGGAAACACCCCCTAAGATTTCAGCTCTCTAGCTTCTCAGAACCCCGAGTTATGAATTTACGCGGGAATTTTGGGGGCCCGTACGCGGGTACCACGCTTACCCGGGGGCTGGATTTGAGCTCATTAGCACCTGTTTGGACGGGGAAAATTCCCCTAAAATTTCAGCTTTCTAGCCTCTCAGAACCCCGAGTTATGAATTCACGCGGGAAAAATTTT